GTTATACTTCTTTACATGTCTCCCCGCCCCCCGCCACCCCTCTTACCCCATTTGCTTTCATTGACGAGAACGTAGAATGTCAAAGCATTATCACGTCATTGCATCAGTTGTTGTTTTCATTTTTGTTTCGGTTGGTCTTTATTCTCAGGCTGTGCATCGCTTTAGTCGTCAGTTTGTCGGTGTGCTACTCTATGTGTAGGCCCTCTCCTCCCCACACACTTCCCTCATCCCAGACACAAATTAAATATCCACCAGCATGAGTTTCTCAATCTCCTCCCCTCCCCCCCCACCCCCTCCCTACTGACACTGACTCTGACATCTCCTGACAGTAAGAAACAGACAAACGAGCCACGTACTGTGGCACCAAGCATGCGTGCGTGCACGCGAGGCAGAGAGACATGAGTGGTTGTTCTGTTCCTGTTTGCACATGTTGAGGTAGTGAGGATGATGATGAGGATGATGATGATGATGAGGATGATGATGATGATGTCGTCATCAATGAAAACATGGGGTTTATAATTGTAGCCATTAAGTGGGTGTGCGTTGTTGGAAGTTTGAACTCGTCATAAAAACTAAGCAGTAGTAAGGACGATATGTAATGGCTTTTCAAGCAGATTTTGTAGCTGTAGAAAGTTTATTTGTAGGTTTTTGAAAAAAAATAAACAATCTTGATTCATTCCAGCACAGCCATCACAGACAGCAGGACTTTGTTCCTGAGCTTGGCGTTGTCATAGAAACCAAGCAATAGTTAGGAGGATATTTAATGATTTTTCAAACAGATTTTGTAGCTGTAGAAAGTTTACTTATAGGTTTTGAAAAAAAAATTTAATCTTGATTCATTCCAGTACAGTAATCACAGACAGCTGGACTCTGTTCATGAGCTGAAGATGGGAAGTCTGTAAAATTTCATCAAGGACAAAGAAGAGCCGACACCTATTCAGTTGTCTAACCTGTTGTAGCCTTCAGTTTGCCATTGTTGGTCTAACTTTGTAACAAACTGTTCTTTCTGACATTTTGGGGGGCATTTTACTATTATTTTGGCAAACAAGTTTCCTTTGATTCCAAAAATAAAAGAAAAAATGCTTCTCACAATTGACATTTTAGTCATATATAGATTTCTTTGCTAGTTTTGCATTCATTTTTTGCACTCTGGAAAGAGAGGTGGGAAAAAAAAACTAAAAAAAAACAAAACAACCTAGAAAGGTACATCGACCTGCCATGTTATATTGAAGGTCTTTCTAAACTGGAATGGGAAAAACTAAGTTTTTATCCCCACTTGGAATCGGAACATTAATTAGTTGTCCATTCAGGCTTTCGACGTGTGAGATTTTCCTTAGAGTTCCTTACACCGCACACTTCACGAAGTCAGGAGTGGCAAGTTCCCTTTACCGTACAAAGACGTGTTTTCCTTGACCTTCATTGTCTTATTGCATAGACGTGATTGTCCTACTGATTGTCCTACTGATTGTCCTACTGATTGTGCTACTGATCGTCCTACTGATTGTCCTACTGATTGTCTTACTGATTGTCCTATTGATTGTCCTATTGATTGTCTTACTGATTGTCCTACTGATTGTCCTACTGATTGTCCTTTTGATTGTCCTATTGATTGTCTTACTGATTGTCTTACTGATTGTCCTACTGATTGTCCTACTGACATAAAGGCTGTCCTACTGATTGTCCTACTGACCAGAAGGCATTGATTTGATTGTTCTACTGACATAGGGCATAGACAGTTTTTCCAACAACAACCACAGCAAAGTGTGTTGATGCCATGAGCTTTCTCTCTCTCACACTCCGTTTTACGTTGCGAATGTTTGAGTAAACTTACGTTGCTGTATGTTGTTGAGTACAGTGCTCCCTGTGGCCGTGTTTCTTACGCTTGAGTCTGTGGCTGGTTGGTGCTGTACGTGTGCTCTACGTGGTGCAGCTTTCCCCCCGTGACACCCCCCTGCCCGCCCGGTGTGTCATGCGCAGTGTGGTCGTTGTCGTTGTGCTTCGTTTTCTCACTTTCTTTTTCTTGTCTTTGTCTTTTTATTTTCTTTTCATTAAGTTCAGTTTTTCTTTCTTCATCATACGTCAAGTCCTCATCATCTTTTGGTTGTAGGTTAGATCTTTGTCATGTTGACAAGGAACATCTCCTCGTCCTCCTCCCTTGTGAAAGAGAATGGTGCCAGGTGGTCGATAGTGCCGTAAAACACCTACTCAATGGTGCCAGGTGCTGATATAGGAGTGTGCGGTCTGATTGTTGTCGAGGTGGCTGTTCTGCTGTTTGGTCAGTGACCGGTGGTCTGTGAACCAGATACTGGTAGCAGAGTAGTGTGTGCGTGCGTGCGTGCCTGTTTATGTGTGTGTATGTGTGCGTGTGTGTGTGTGTGTGTGTGATGGCAGTATAGGTTGGCTAGACGAGCGTCGGTAGTGTTGAAGATAGAAGAGATGGCCCACTTGGTTTGTCTAGTCTTGAATCATTACACGTGATTTGACAGACTGTATATTTAACCCTATCCATACGTCCTGGGGTCATTTTGTACCCCCCCTGGGTTTTATTTTTCACATTTTAGAATACTCCTAGTGTGAAGATCTCTTTGAAACTTTTAGTATTTCTCAAAAGTCAGTGTGACAGACTGCTAAGCAAAGCATACGGATCAGATTAACGAGTAAATTTCTTTTTTGAAAAGTGGTGGCACAGAGTTCCCCACGTCGTATGGATACGATAGTGAAACACGACGTATGGATAGGGTTAAAAAAATCAAAAGGATAGTTATGCTAGACTACAAGAAATGGTGAAGGAAATGTCTCCAGCTAGTGACAAATGGGCTAGTTTTTTTTATTGTTGTTTTTTTTCTTTCGGTATATGCACACCATATAGTGCTCTGATTCCCTCGCCCCCCGTACACATTTCATCATCTCTCTCCGTGTCTGTGGCTTCATTCTCCCCGTGATGTAATCTTGTAATCTTTCTGGTAGATAGACGTCCACATCTCTTTGGGACAGGATTCATCATCATATTTATTCCTTTAGTGTCACTGATCAAAGTGTTTGTTGTAGAAAATTAAGGTTTTTTTAAAAATCGCACTACTCAAATTGAAAATATTTCGTAGACATTTTGCCTTTTCTCACCTTTGCAAAAATATAATCACTATATCACATCACTCCTCTAATTGAACATTTTGAATTGCAGTTTTGACTTTCAATATTTTAAAAGGAATCGTATTTTCATATATTCATACTGGTGGTGGGAATGGACTATCAAATGATGTTGAAATGCACACAGAGAATAAACAAAATGATGAGTTCAGAGTGTACAGAAGCAATATATTTGTAAATTCGTTTTGTTCTAAGCAGAATGTTGATAGCTTTAATTCATTGAGACTGTGCTCAGTAGCATTTTTTGAAGTGAATTAATTTAAGAACTTGGGTAGAAACCCCAATCAAAGACAGAAGTAAGTGGTTTTTCAAATCATTCTGTTTCAATAAACATAAGTCAACAAAAAAATAATACTTCATTTTGTACACTACTATTCTGTTGGGATGAAAATGGAAAGATTTTGTTTTTAGAATATTATTTAGACTCAACCACAACTCTTGGATTGAAATGATTTGCTTTTCAAAGGCTTAGAAGAAGTTAAAACCAATGGTTTGTTTCCACCGTCCCACTGTAGCGCGGTGTAACAATGGTAACTCAACTTGTAGCTATTGATGAAGGTTGTACGTACTAGTTTGCCTTCTTTTGTTGACTTTTGGCCAACTTGTAAAAAAAACAACCCCAAAACCCCCCCCCTGTAAAAACGCTGCCGTGGAATTCAAGAAGACTGAGGCAGTGGGGACAGTTGTGAATTCTGTCAGCTGTATGTGGCTGTGGTGGTCTCACTGAGTTAAAGTATCATCATCATCATGCTTTTACATTCGTCTTCGTCTTGGGTGTTTAAAAATCAAGTGTTTTGGGGTATTTTAAAATCACCTGGTCTGTTTTTTGTCTTCCCTCGTGAAGTGTAATGCCAAAGTACTCTGACAAATGAAAGTAAAAATCTTTTACAGTTTTATTAGAGTAAAATCTTATACAGCTTTATTAGAGTAAACTCTTATGCAGTTTTATTAGAGTAAACTCTTATGCAGATTTCTTTGAAAAGTTCATGAGAACCAGCCGTGTTCAAAATCTCAGAAGAAACCGTTGTTTCGGTCCAGACTGTATTTCTGCTCATTAAAACCTAAAATTGTATTAATTGTGCACTGTATTTGTTTCCATCTAGATATTGCACACACAAAGAAGCAGCTAAAAACCATTATCATACTTTTTATCCGTGTGAAAGTTGTTTTCATCCGCAAAATCAAAATCCCTTTGAGGATGTGAGAACTGTTATGTTCTCACAAGGGAGAGAAATACTTTATCTTTCCCCCTTTTTGTGGTGCAGAATGCAATGCACTTGTCCAATTTGTGAAAGTGCGGATTTGAACTGGAATGGGGTCGGGACTTTTCATGTCCTTTGTGGAATATTTCCTCTAAGAGCAGATGTGAATTCAGGGGACCCCCCTCCCCTCTGGAAGGACATTTTATGTCCGCTAGGAATTTTGATTTTTTTGGTTTTGTTTCAGGTTTTCGTGTCACACCTCGTTATAACAATAATAATAATAATAATAATAATATCAAATCTATCACACCTTATGCTCTCCCCCTCTGTGTTTTTGTGTGGCTGTCAGTCAGCGAGTGGTTGGAGGGCGCCACTGCTAGATCCTGCTTCTTTACTTTTCCCTCTGTTGTTTCTGTCTGTCAGTCTGTCAGTCTCTCTGTCTTTTCTTTTCCCCAGCACTGTATGACTGTTATTGTGTCGATGTGCTTCTCTCTTTCCTCCAACAAACAAACGAGCAAGCTGTCCTCCTTTGTGTGTTTGTTTGTGTGTGTTTATCTGTCTGCCTGCCTGTCAGCGAGTACAGTTGCTTTTTTCTCTCTGCTTTGTCCCCTTGTTTGGTGATGATGCTGATGATGATGATGATGAAAACAGGAAGAGCAGATGTCGGAGCTGGTGAAAAATTCCGGAGATAGCTCCAGTCAGTTGGCATCTCTCAGTGATCAGCTCAAGGAAAAGAATAGGTTAGTCGGTCATAGACAAAAACTATCCATCATTTTTTTTTTTTTGTTGTTGGTCATTCTCGTTTGGTTTTGTTTTGTTTTTTCCCCCCCTCCCTCTGTGTACCATTTGTTCATTCTTCTGGTCGGTTTGTTGTGTAACCCCTGTCATATTACTCTTCTGGTTGTTGCCCCCTCATATATTATCCTTCTTTCGCTTCTTCAAGATAGAAACAGTACTCATGTAGTGGGACGGGGCATTTTTGGCTTAAAGGTTTTCCTAATTCATTATCTTTATTTTCATTATTGTCATAATCTTTTAGTATTCTATGTTTGGAAAAATTCGCAAATGAAACAAGACAAATAACACTAACGACTAAATGTCAATGAAATGTAGAGGTAACATAAATTGATACATAAACTGATACCAGACTTTCTTTACAATAAGTTGTTTTTATTTTTTGTTTTTTGGTGGATCAGACATTTGCATTCAGTTGATGAGTAACTTTCAGTTTGTTATTTCTTAATTATCAATAATCCTGTTGGGAAAAGGTTTTTACTTTTTGTTTAGTTCCTTTGAAACGTTTTCAGTTTTTCGTAAATGTTCTTCGGTACTCGTCCTTCACCTCTCCTCCCTCCGTCAAATTCACTGGTGCTGGGTGGATGGTACTAACTTGTTATACCTGTACCATGGTACTAACTGACCGCTAAAACTACCACAACTCTTGTACCTCGGGTGTGTGGCATGCATCATTGTGCTGTGAAATGAGCGATGTACTACTACTTTTACATCTCTGTAAATTGCTGTCCAGACCCTGATCAGTGAATTTGATGCGAGAGATTTTGAGCATGCTTCTTTAACCAACCACAAAAACTGCATGATACTAACACTTTGCACAACGCTTCTGCTTATACGCACTTTTTTCCCCCTCTTGTGCTGTTGGGTTGTTTGGAACGCCTTTGGTTACGACTGAATTGGTTTAGAATGGGTTTTTGTGTTTGCTATGTCTTCAGTGTTTTCTGTGTGTTGAATGGAGTTTATTTACTCGATGAAGAATACGTTTGTTGAGAATTATTTTAGACGCATGAAATCTCCTTGTATATGTGTTTTTTAATCTTAAGCATTTGTTTGGTTGTGGTCAAGTAAGTACATATTGAGTGGTGGTGAGAGATGGTAGTTGCCTTTGGGTACGGTTTTAGCCGACGTAGTCTTTTGTTTGTTTTACTTGGCTTATGTTCAGGTATTGTTTGTTACTCTGTTGTAAGTGGGTGGTTGGCGGGGGCTCTGTTGTAGTTTGCTTCTTCTTTCCTATAAAACATCTATCGTCCTTCTCTCCCCTCCTTCTTTTATGTGTTTGTTACTCTCTTGTAACACCTCTAATCTTCGGCACTTATATGACCTCATTGTGTTGCAAGTGCCGTAAAACTCTTAAAACTTGTTAAAAGTGTTGTCCTCTGTTTGGTTTACTTGGCTTATGTCCTTCAGGTGTTGTTGTGTTGTGTCTGTGTGTCTTCTGTGCTTGCAGTTGCGAGCGCCGTAAAACCCTCTACTATAAAAAGTCTTCTGTGCTCCGTACTCGGGCAGCATCCTTGCTGGTCCACAGCTGGAAGGGAGACTTCTCTCAAGCCTTACTCTTATTGCTCTGTCTGTCTTCCTGCTTTTATTTCCAGATTTTTGGAATATCCACTTTGTAAGACTTTGTCTGAGCCGAAAATAATGACTTTTTGTTAATTAGAGAGATGTGGCCCAAGTGCCATAGGATCTTTTGACGTGAAAAATTAAAATTTGTTTGATGATACATGTACTTGCAGTTCAGAATATATTTTGCTGTTGAATGATGATGCCACTGCACGGTCTCGCCATGTTGGATTGTTTGCACAGTTTCTTACATTATACGACAAATGGTGTTTTAGTGTGCGTACATATACGTGTACTATTACATTTTGTACTGCTTCGACATATATTATTATGTATCATCATTGCCACTGATCTAGTGACCACCGTCACAATCATGTATTATCGCAGTCAGTGCTGGAAGTTTACTATACTGTATATCTTGTTGGTTAAGCAAACACAGCTTTGGCTTTGATTAGATTATGTGCCCCGAACAGTTTGCTTCAAACTTTGTTCCGTAAGTTTTGCTTTTGTGTAGCATAGTATGTTATGTATACCTCTTTCACGCTGACAAATGATTATGTTTCGTTGTACTGGAAGCTAGAATAATGTTTATAGGCTAAAACAGCACCTGGACATGGATGGCTGGTGCCTCTATAAATAAATCATTGATGGTCAGGTCAATAATGTTTATGTGATAGATGTCAATTTATTGTGTTCTTCGTTGAGACATCTGGTTTTAGTTTAAGAAAGCACTTGAATAAAAAGAAAGCTACTTTTTTCTTTTCTAAAGGAGTAAAAATAAGCTTATGTGAACACTTGCAGCCTCATGCCAGATCTCTAGTTTTTTTTGTTTTTTTTTTGTTTTTTTGCATACGTGTGTGTATTTTAGAAACAAAAAAGCAAACCTGCTGAGAGTAGTAAAGAAGGATTTGTTTTGTTTTCTCATTTGTTCTTGTTGTACTTGAGATTTCCTGTCTCTGAGTAAGCTACAGTTTGTCAAAGTCAAAGATAATAATAATAATAATAAATAGCATTTGTATAGCGCATACCCCCACTCAACAGCAGGCTCTATGCGCTTTACACTATATTATTACCCCAGCAGACCATAGAACACTCGGATACATTCTCAGCTTCCCGGGAAGCATACAGTGCAAGCAGCTGATTCAGAGCTCAAACACTATCGAGATTGTAGAGCCACTGGGCTATACAGTTGGTTCAGCTCCAGAAAAGTTGTTGCTGTAGTTATGTTACCTTGAATGCTGTAGACTGTAAGCTGATGCCATGAGACACTTTTTCATTGTTACTTATGAAGGTGCAAGGAATTTAAATTGAGGGGAAAAAATAATCGAGTTATTCTGTCAGCTAATGCTAAGAGTGAACCAAAAAAAACCCAACGAAAAAACATCCCAACGAAAATATTGTCAGTAAGTATATGATTTCTGTAGTCATGTTCTGCTTTCTTCGTGGGGCAGTTGTCTATATCTGTGTGAAAAACGTAAATCTTTTTTACTTACCTCACTGACCCTGGCTTGGGCCCTCTTTCCTTTTTTCCCCTTTTTTTCCCATTTTGAAGGCTTTAGGCTGGTGGTAAAATCTCACTCAGGTACCAAGTTTTTCTCTCTAAGCTCCGTGAACCCCCAGACTGCGTCTAGTCGAATGAAATGAAGCCCGATGTACTCATAGTGGAAATGTTCTCGTTACTTCTCCCTAACTGAATGGAAAGATATTTATTTATGATTCCTCTGTCGAAATGCATTCTTCTGCGGAATGTTGAGTGCATGTGACAGAAATGACCAGAATGTTTCTTTGAATGAGATAGATACCTTCTAAAAAATAAAAATGAGATAGAAGATCCCAAATCCGTGATGCGGATTGAGAACTCAGAATGCCTGCAATGGTCACTTAGACTTAGGTGTGGCAAAGTACCGAAATATCCAGGGGTGTTTTTGATAGTCTCCTAGTGGAAAGCAAGGCAGTCATGACTAGTGTAGTAGTGTCCCAGATCCTTTTCTTTTGTTTTTTTTTCTTTTTTTTTGGTCTGCCCCAGGTTTTCTTTGTAGTTCGGTGTTTCACATGGAAATATCCCAGTTTTTGTGTAGTTTCACCTAGATATGTCCCAGTTTTTGTGTAGTTTCACATAGATATGTCCCAGTTTTGTTATAGTTTCACATAGATATGTCCTCCCAGTTTTTGGTAGTTTTACGTGGATATGTCCCATTTTTGTGTAGCTATTTCCCAGTTTTTGTGTAGTTTCACATAGACATGTCCCAGTTTTTGTGTAGTTTCACATAGATATGTCCCATTGTGTAGTTTCACATAGACATGTCCCAGATTTTGTGTAGTTTCTCATAGATATGTCCCAGATTTTGTATAGTTTCACATAGATATGTCCCAGTTTTTGTGTAGTTTCACATA